ATCTATATCTCTTCCCAAACATTTCGAGAAAAATATTTTTTTTTTGAAAAAATCCCTGTACCCCCCTTCAGGGATGGTATTCTCAATAATGGCAATTTTTTCGATAACTCAGCCATTTCGTGACGGATCTTTCTCATCTTAGAACTCGACCGAGACATTGTTAAGACTGAACTGTGCAGAAAATTTCATCATGATCTGACTCTCCTTTCGAAAGTTATCGTGTAAACGGCCGGACAGACACACAGACCGATTTTAGTAGTGTACTCACTTTTTGAGTACACTAAAAACATTATTGATATACGATAAAAGATCTTATATTCGTTCTAATATATGAACTTATTCCTTATTTCAATTTTAGAAGATTAAGTAACATATAATTTATAAGATAATTTGCTTATAACAATAGAATATTTTACTTTAAATTTGTGTTTCAATCTCATAGATCTTTAGTCCTAATTGATCTATATTTTCTTGTACGTACATTATTAATATTTAGAAGTTTTTGTGATTTTTCCCAAATGGTAATTAGTCCATCTTGTGATGATGTAATTAAATAATTTTCACCGAAATAAATACCATTTAAACGTTCATGTGCTATAAATTCTGCAATAACTGGTTCAATAACTTGTATATCATCTAATTTAGGACATAAATTTGTACCAAATGTACTTTTAGTTAAATCAAAATTTGTTTGACGTGATGATAAATTATTATTATTTAATAATGTTGATAATGAACTTTGATTTGTATCATCAGATGTTGTTGTTGTTGTTGTTGTTACTTTTGATGATAAAGATTTTATTCCACTTGATGTATTTGAAAATAATGGCATTTTTCGTGATTTTTTCGATGAACCATTTGATTGTGCTAATAAAGTTATATCAGATGTATCATCAATCGATTTATTTACTTTATTTGAATGACGTACAAATGAAAGACGAGATGTTATAGATGAAAATGAAGATTTTGTTGTTGATGTTTGAGTATTTATTGTTATATCAGATGGTAATGATATATAACCATTTGATGTTATTGTTGATGATATTAATGGATATGATAATGAATTTTGTTTACTATTTGAATTTATTTTAAGTATATCTTCTGTTATATCCCATAAACATAAACGATTATCTTGTCCAACTGAACCAATACGATAAAATAATGATGGAATATTTGTATCACAATATGATGCATCACTATGTGTATATGAATTAAAATTTTTTATTCCAAGGTTATCATTATATAATGATAATGATGATGATGGTTGAATAAATGATAAATAATAAGTTTTAGCATTCATATAGGAATCAAATGATATGGCATTTATCCATGATGTATGACCATGACCACGACATATTACACGAGATGTATGTTCATCTGGATCAAGAGAAAATAATGTTATAAAATCATCTTCACCACCTGTTGCTATATATTTACCATCGGGAGACCAACATACCTATTCAAATATAAAAACGAATTAGATAAAGATTAATAAAATTTTGAATCAAATAATTTCGATCTACAAAAAAAAATAATAAACCTTTATATTTTCATAGGAGAAGTCCTTTAATTGATAAATCAATTTTCATTCGAGATTATGTATATCATGGAAATTTTTAATGACCTACAAATATTCTGAAAAGAGTTCATATCTTTAGCTGTAATGATACTGTACTTTTACAGTCATTTTTTAATGAAAGACGAAGTAACAGAAAAACTAATTTTTGAATTTCGACTTGAAATTTTATATCGAGATAAACCTTAATGAAAATAAGATTTTTTTTTTTTTTGTAAATACTTCAGATCTTGTTGTTGTTTCTATCCTAAGATACAATTATGGTAATAAGCGAAAATCATCCAAATTGATACCCAGCATTTGAGACCAAATAAATGCGAAAACCTCGGATTTAAATCCCAGTGTTGTGTGTACTTGAAAAAGTGAACAGGTATATTCACTTTGTTTTTTATCATCTGACACATATCTAGGCTATTTGCTTTCTTCATGCAGTTTTTAGACCTTTTTCAGTCAATGTTTTGTTAGAAAGCTACGATTTGGTTCAAAACTAATATCAGATTCGGAATCAGCGTTAAAAACTGAGTCGATTTATATATGTTGTGGTCATGGTCATACATCATGGATAAATGCCAT